AAAGGGGACCCCGAAATGCCGCCTCCTCCGCTGCCGCGGCCCCGCCACCCTTCTGGGTGGAAGCGCCTAACTTTGAGGCACATGCTCGTGAGGCACCAGGGCGGGCCCTCGGCGCTGCTGCCGCCAGCTTGCCCCGGGCACGCAGAGCTAAAATGCTCCTGAAACGCCTCAGAAAAGCCCGAAGGTTGTTATGAAGGACAAATCTCACCCAAAAGTTGGATTTGTTCGTCTGCAGAATTCAGCACTTGGCTTGCAAGTTTTCACCTGCGAAAAGGTGACATTTTACAGTTTATTAAAAGGAGATTTTTTTTCCTTAAGTAATTTACATTTCAGTCCAAGTTAATGCATTGCTTTCCAGACACTTTTGAATTTGTCCTCAAGAAGTTGACATTGCATGTACAGATGTGACAATGTTAAGGAAGTGACATGTAAGGAAAAAGCAGCCAAATAGTTTGCAGAACGGTAATTTACAGTGAAGGTGCAGAGTGAATTTGTAATACAAACAAGGCTGGCAAAAACCTGCTGCCACAGGCATATGAATGGTAGCCTTCTGCAACTCCTATTACTATTTTATGTGGTACTTGTTAATACATTAGCTGATGAGCATTAAATCATGCAAATTAAATAAATGTATTCCTTCCAACTTAATTAAGTAGCATATTGACAAAACACCCTCCATACCAGCCCTGAAAATCAGACCTGGAATGGATACCGTTGCTGCAAACATGCAGACCTGCCTGTTGCTTTATTTCTTGCTCTGGGGAACCTATGGCTGGCATTAAATGTGCTATGGTGTGGGGAAAAGACTTAAGTATCCTCTCTAATACGTATTCTGTGCTCCATGCATGACAAATTCCACAGTTCAAGGGGCCTAAACTTGCTCTTACTAAATTTACTAAGTTACTTTACTAAGTTGATTAAGCACACTGGTTAGCAAGTTAACAGTGGACAGCTTAAAACCAGAGAGCCTTTCCCATGCAGCCCTACTTAAACAGTGGGAATCTTTGCCAGGTGATACTGCAGATGTCAATTACTCAGGTTTCAAAAAGTGATTGCAGAAGTTTCTGGGAGTAAAAAACAAGCAAGAGCTATTAACTGCACAACACCACTTTTTGCTCAAGAAGGTCTTGAGCTGCAAATCAGTGGAGAATGTGGAAATACACTCAGAAAGTTTGATGCTTACTGGCGCAGGTCTTCCATCTCTTCCCCAGGCATCCCCCGGTGGCTGCTATTTTTTTTTCCCAGGAAGAGCACAAACACAATGCCACCCACTCCCTGCCTTGCAATGATACAGAGGCATTTCTTGCTTTTGGGAAAATACCAGGGGTCAGTTCACCTCAGGGCGAGGGATCAGCCTTATTTCAGGAAAGTCACTTTCTTCATCAGGGTATCACCCTTGCCACATAATAGAAGAGGAGTTGGGTTAGCAGGACTTTGGGTCAGTCCTGGCATGGCTATGTTCACTTTCTGAAGGTCACTTTTCACGCTTGCCTGGCCATACCAGCAGATAAGCCCTGGGTAGGTGTAACTAGAGGAAAGGCAGGCAGTAGATCTGCATTTCTTAATGCAGAGCAAACAAGCAGCAGCTCTGCTGGAGACATGGGGTTGCCATGGTGCCTGCCAGGTGGATGCCCTCAGAAATCAAATCCAACTTGATTACAAGCCCCGTAGCTGGAATGAAAGGTGGGGAAGTCCTAAGCTTGGTGCTCCTTTTGCCATAGAATTAATGAGAATGGCCATAAGCATCTAATGCTGCTAGGAGGGGCCATTCCCAAACTCCAGCCCTCCCTCGGTGGCTGCCCACCTGGCTTTCCCCTGCTATGGCAAAGACACAGTAGGTGACAAAACCATGTCTGCCACCTTTACCTCTTGCACCTGCCTAGGCACATGTCTAGGGCCTTGGAAAGAGAGTGGTGAAATGAAATAAGGAAGAGAAAGCACAGCACAAATTCTGTAAATACCAAGTAGGCTTTTTCCTGGAAAATACCTATGTCTAATGATAATACATTTACTTTTATGTTTTCCTAGGCCATCACAAAGAGAGGCAACATTATGATTATGTCTCATAAACCCATTCCTATTGTTTACTAGGTAATCAGTTAATAACCTGAGAAGTTCGTTCCCAATGAGGGGCGTGGCTCCTTCCACTCAGAACTATAGCCTGCAAACCTTCCTAATCTACAAAATCCAATAGCCTCTCATGGACTTGTTAGTCATCATGATGCATTGGCTACCATCAGCAATCCTGTGCAAGATGTGCCCTGCATCCATTGGAAGGACAACAGCAGGATTTAGTAAGTCATGTTGGGATTTATTGGCTATTAGAATTCCTCCTAATATTGTAAGCAAAAACATAACATTGATGAAAGAACAAGTAGCAGGATCCTTGCTATATGCCATAAACACTGCAAATGGAACCCCAGATGGGCTCTTGGGAGGTATCAGGTCTAGTTTTTCACTGTTCCGTGTAGGGGAATGCTGGAACAGTGGAAGCTGATAGCTTCTTTTACAACCAATTAGATCCATCAGAAAACCCAGCGAATAGTCTCTGACTCCCCCGTTAGCAAGTCTTCTATGTTTCCAACTAGCCACTCAGCAGTGAAACTCGATGCCTAGAAGTGTAAAAGGATCATTTAGCTTGAAACTGATAACCCAACCTGAAGGTGCAGGTTTAACCTCTTCTCTGTGTTGTTTGTTTTTTTTTTTTTTAATTTCTCTCAGCTTAGCAGCATTGTTTCTAAGCAACAGGACAAAGCTGCAGTCTTGTGTGAAGCCATAGCCTAATTTCCCTGGCACACAAACTGAGTGACAGAGGCAAGAAAGGAACAGCAACATCAAGAGGGACATATTCCTCATAGATACCTGAAGTCACAGAGGCTCCAATCCCAGATCCTGAAGCCTGTTCCAAGAGTTGACACAGGTAGTGCATGATTTCTTATGTACATGTGTGAGAGAGAGAATAGGGGGATAATATGCAGTAACACAGGAAGCTTGCTAGGTATGTCATTGCTTTGTATATTATGGAGCAGAGGAGTGCTTTGATTTTACAATAAATTGGTGGGCCAGGTGCTGGCTGCTCTCTTTGCTGTGTCCTGTCAGGCCAGCTGTTACCTCATCTCTTCCAGCCTGTCCTCTTCCCAATTCATCCCCTCTTTGTACTACATAGACCTGATTAATACACACACAGCGGGGAGAGCAAGCCATGTGCTAAAAAACTTAGAAGTGGCAGCAGGTCAATAGATTGCATTATATGAGAGAATATACATCACTGTGATGAGGATGCAAGCAACCTGCAAGGTGACATTCAAGATTGATGCTCATCTTAAATGGGCTCATTCTGCCCATTTCCCATTACCAAACTCCTTACCCTCACTTTCAGTACTGTGCATGTTGTCTTCTCTTTCTCGACTAGATTTTTCTCACCTATTGCAATCCTACCTGGGAAATGGTTTTGGCCAGATTTTTGTAGGAGGTCTCCAAGTGTCCCATACTCTTTACGTGTGATTCAGATTTGACAGAGATACTTGTAGGATGCACTTTTCTCTCTCCTAGATCCCATTGAGCTTATGTTACAGTGACAGCTAGAGTATGGAAAGAAAACGCTTGAAGAAAGAGATTGAAAAACTCCTGTAAGTAGTAACTGCCCACAACTGCCTTCATTGCATTTGAGATGGACTAGTTTTCATTGCAAAGGGTTGTATGACCTAGCTGGATGACAACTGTAAAGCCTTAGTCTTCTCTTGCTGGAAAGAATGAACAGACTTCATTTGAGATGCTCTTCATTTTCTTACATGCAGTCTATATTGTGAGACCTGACTGCATATGTGACAGTAGAGATGTCACAGCTCAGAACTTGCTCTGTGTCAGTGGGAGTGACCAGGGAGGTGTGGAGTTTCTCCCTTGCCATGCAGCCAGCGCTAGTCTCCTAGTTCATGCAGCAGTGTCTCATGCTCTTGGATGCAGGAGCGCCCAGCAGACAACTCCTAGGGGATGTAAGCAGTGTTCCCTCTATTCCATATTCCCGTGCCTATCTTCCCTAGGACTGCTTGCATGGATCAGTAGTACTTAGTCTGAGGAAAGATTGCAGAATCAGGCCTCCCCTGAATGAGAAGAACAAGCACCAGTGAAACATCTCTTTCAGTCTCTTGGCTGTACAGTGAAATCCTTCTGTGAGTCCCCAGACTTTAAATACTTGATTCATATTTATTCCTCTTCCTATATTTTGGAGCCTTTGGGGAAGAGAGAAGTATGGTTTGAGGAAGCTAAAATTAGCAGTGATGCAGAAAACTAACAGCTTTCCAACTTAGGAGGTGTCTGTGAGAAATCCTGCAGCAGATTCCTAGCCCTGAATCATAGCGAATTTAGCCCCAGTCTTGCAGTAGCTTTAGAGTCACCTATTGTATTTCTTATGCACTGGATTGCTTAGAACCAGTTGTAATTTGGAGTTATTTTCTTGCTTTAAGGGGAGATTATGTTGGCATCAGACTACGAGAAAATGAATTTGATCCAAGAGGCCAAAGGCAGCCCACCTTTATAGATGACATGGTAATCACCAGACTTCTTTCTTCCTATCCTCTTTAATTGCATCTGACAGATGGCTATTTGGTACAGCTGAAAAACCTATTCCTACAATGATCAATAAAAGCCCATTACTGAAATGAGTATCTAAAGAGATTGGCTGTGAATAGCATCCAGGTGTAATGTATCCAAGATAATGCAAGTTTTTGCTGATTTTTCAGTAAGACAAAGCTCATCCACAGAGGACATTTGATAAAGTTCAAGTCAACTAACCAAAGGGAATTCTTCACAAACTAAAGCTGTCTGTGCATAGCAAAACATCTTTCAGCTAAGCTGAGAAAGTCTTCCTGGGTGTGTTTAAAACCCCTCAAACCTCAGGAAGTGTCTTACAACTGGTGAGCTACCCAGTGTATTTGAGAAATACTGGGGACCAGCTTACGTTTCCCTGCATTTCTCTGGTCTTTCTGTCATCCCTCAGTCAAGCACTTACAGTAAAAGAAAACACATAAGGTTCTTCTGTCTTTCCAGGTCCATTACAACTTAGCCTTCAGTGTTGCTTTGCTGTGGCTAAGTGACTTGGATGCTCAGACTGCACTGACAAGAGAGAAATTGTGAGTATTGCAAAGCTAAGGCCCTGCTGTTGCAGAGGGTTACACCAGTGTGCAAATGGAGTAAAAGCAGCAGTGAGTCGAGCCCAGAACTACTTTCTGCATTTATAACACCAGGCTAATAATCCTCTTTTTCAAAACACCATACAGGAATTTTGCAGCTTGCAACCGATACATGTATCCCAACCGAACTGAGAGAGAAGCTATGATATTATCTTCATATGCTGGAATATTAATGGTAAGAGGGCAAGAAAGATAGCAATATCTTTTGCTCTATGGCACCTGTCTAGAAACACTTCCTGTACCCTGGATGTCTTTCTTCGTTGAAAGCGCAGTATACAGACAGTGCAAATATTACAAATCTGTCTCATTTTTATCAGGTAGCCATTAAGTTTTGCTCAGCCTTAGAAAACAAAATAGGCAGTTTCAGTAGGTGGTCCTATGCATGTGTATAGGTTATTTATCTTGTCTCACCCAAATGCAAAATGGTGAGCAAATTTCAGGACCAGATCTCAATAGATTTGCACTAGCAGCATGAAACAATACTAGGAGTTCACATGAAAGCTGTTTCCAAAGATCAAAAGAAGGGGATATGAGCTGGATTTCATACATTCACTTTAAAGAATACTACTTTTGAGAGCTGAACCTCTCTCTTTACCTATTTTCACAGAACAGCATTTCTCTTGAAGAGATTTTTGAGATTTACAGCATGAGGACCTCAGCAACACACTGGCAGAGCTCTGCAAATGTGAGTGATTTGTTGTTTTTTCAGCATCTGTAATAGGGGTCTGAGGAAGATCTCTCTTACCTGTAGTGGCCTGGTCCAGCATGTAGTGCATTGGGCTGGCATTCTGGGAATGCAATCCACACGTGGATTATCTCTCTTCTCGCTCAGAGTAAACACTGTTGAACTCTTCCATTTTCACATCTGCCATTAGGGCTTAGAGCCTTGTGGGTGGCCTTTCAGCATCATAAGGAGGTGTAAAGCCTCCATGTGCGGTTGTAGTTATCCATGGGGTACTTCATCCCTGCTGCTAGTCTTCAGGGTGTGTGTGTGTCAAAGCTGCAGAGTGCAGCACATTTCTTAATTGCTTGCAGATTGTATTGTGTGGGGGTCTATTATTATAGCTACTGTTTATTCCAGCTCTCCCATACAAATAAAGGAAGGGACTTCATTCTATGGAAAGCAATCACTGCTGTTAGACCAGCCGTAGTTGGGGATATGTGGATGATAGCTGGCAACATCCTACAATAAACTCTCATGTATCTCCTTGTTAGAGCAGAGTGTAAGCATTCAGGTAGCATTGAAGACCACAGGCTAGGTACAACTGTGAATTTTATCTGAAGTTAGCGCTTTCCTTTGGGATTATCATCTGGCTGCCAAAGATGTACTTTGTCTGTGCCCACTCTTCTTCCCCAGTCCACTCAGGTTTCAAACCAGAAATCATTAGGGGACAATACCTAACCTTTGCTAGCTCCTGGCCTCTGGTGCTGCCTTGCACTGCTTGGCCTCACTGAGGAGCCAAAGTTGCTTTGCTGGGCAGTATACCCTGTAAGTAGTTGTATAAACAAGTGAAACTCTCCCTGCACAGCCCACCTCTTTGCTATGTTTTTTCTGCCCTTTTGTACGGACTCTGCAGATCCTTCATGGTCTGCTTGACTCATTCTTATTCCTTTGTAAGATGATAAATCTTCCAGCTAAGGTGTGCTGTTGGTCTGAGATAAGGCATTTGTCAGAGGAACCAAAGATGTGAAATTTGGCTAGAGACCTTTAACCCTGCAAGACAGAGACTTCCTTCCATACCTCCATGGGTTTTTTTGTAAGCTATTGTATGCTGCTTAGCAGAGTGTGCCAACACTGCAGGTCTTAATCTGGGGTCGTGTTTACGCAAGTTCATACAGTCAGTGCTATGTTTACAGAAGCCAACTCTCAGAAGGGCACTCTGACTCTTACATAGGCATTACATGACAATGTTCAAGGAAATTCAGTATCTACATCCTAGGAATACTTCCTGGATCCCAGTAAAGGATCAGAGATGGCATCTGTCAGAGAGGCTTAAATTCTCCCTTTATTGCAGTGTGAAAAAGAAGAGATAAGAAAACAGTGCTAAGCCAATTTTTACTTGCAGTGCATTGCAGTCCTATGGAAGGTGGACACACAGATTAAACAGAACAAACCAGCAACTCTGTGACTGCAAGGTCATCTGTGTTACCTGTGCACCTGCAGGGAAACGATGCTCTAGAGTCTGGAAGTATCCTTGTGCCAAATCGTACAATAGAAACAGAAAACTTGCACAAGGATTTACAATTCAATTATTGCAGAGGTAAGATTACCTGACATTACCCTGACTTGCAGATTAGATTAGACTATCTGACTTTGGGCAGGTCATTTAATCTCTGTCCTAGTCAATCTGTGGCACAGTTTGGGTCATTATTTGCAGTTAAAAAGCCTCCAGAGAGAAGGAGGCTATGTTTCCTTGGGCACTGTGCTCTGACAACATGGCCTGCTGTCAGCCCATACACCAGAGTTGTTTGGGTCTAGTCAGCTCTTAAGACAGGCAGCAGAGTGTGTGCCTCCTGCTTCCCTTCATCTGAGACTTTTAAGAGTGTATTTACCTAAGCAAAGGAATCCGATACTGTTCATGACCTTCCAGACAAGTCACATCCCCGCTCTTCGGGAATGAAACCTCCATGTGGAATGATCCATCAGGTCTTAGGGAGCTTGTAAGACCTGAGCAGTTTCAGACGTCAGGACAACTTCTGCATCCCCAGTTCAAATACCTTTCTATTTATATTGGGCATAAATTGCAGGGTTTACTGCTTTCATGCAAGTTCACACATGGGTGCTGTGTTAGGCATAAATGGCAGAGTTCAGGCAGCAAGGTGACCTAGGAGACCATTGCCCTGTGCCAATCAACTCACAAACCCATGTAGCAGCCAAGCATGAGCCAAAATTTCAGCCAGAGGAGCACATGGCACCTTTACTCAAACATATTTAAGACAGAGCAGCAGCTACTAGGGAAGGAGACATGAGGACACATGTAAGGAGATGTGTGGGGTGACTATTAAGAGAGACATGCTCTTGGAAGGAGGCATCCCCTCCATGCCATGGCCTGCAGGGACAAAAGCACAGAGGAAAAGTAAGTAGTACAGAGAAATGCCAGACAGAAACCATTCACACACAACCCCAACCTCCTTTGCCATCTGTCACCTCACAGAAGGAATTGGAGCAGACTGAATGTAACCATGCAAGGGAAGTTGAGACTAGGCAGGGAAGGAGAGGCACTTACTGTATTTAACCTCTGGAGTTTGACCTCTTGATGCTTCCCTCATTACACCACCACTGGGATCAGGAACCTCTAGCAGCATTAGGGCTACTTCTAAAATCCCTGCTCCATCTTTTTAATCTAAAACGTCACCCGCTGCATGCTAGAATATTTGAATGATGTGCTCCTGGGTTTAGAGGTTTATGAAGGCTTTTTACTGGCATGCCTCTTTTCTGGCTTAAATGCCTGGCTGACCACAGGCTTCATGGTTCCTTTCTGGCCTGCACACTGGCGTGGGGCTTTGCCAACCCAAGCAAACAAAGTACTAGTGCAGGGAAAGCACAGACACATAAAAGCTCTTTGTCTTCAGTAGCTCTCCTTCACGGAGATGGTTTTGTTCTTCAAAGGGCAGAAGCAGCGTGTTTGGCTCTGTTGTGCTGTTCCTCTTTTGGACGTCTGCTGAAAATTATCCCCAGGCTACCAAAAAAAGAAACTGTGTATTTGGTCCATGCAAAACTGGATACAGCAGACAAATGTAACTGAGCAACGAGATGGATACCAAAAAAAAAGCCTTCAGTAGACAAAAAGGAGATACTTACTCCAGCTTTACTGATGAGATCTCATCTTGGCCTTGCAGAGATTTCTCCAGTTAAAACTCTACACTTAGCCCCAGTCTTAAAGTGGTATCCCATTCCCAAACATACTTAAAAGGCTTTCAGCATTGCTAGCATCACACACCTTGCAGAATCTACCTCAAACTTTTTGACGTCTTCTGCTGTTTAGGTCTGAGAGAGTCCACCAAAGAAGAGGTACCAGTTCAGTAGTACCAGTGACTCCTAACTTTGGCCATAGCAATGGTAAGCTATTGGCCCCTTCTCCCACGAGCCTACTGCCTAGGCTGCTGTGCTATGAGCAATAAAGTGGAAGGAATCTCCTGCTGCATAAAGGCATAATGCATTTGGATCCTATAATATCTCTGCCTTTTAAAAAATATGTTACATTTTAAACTCAAGTCATTTGCCCCTTTTGCTTTTGCCCCATTAGTGATAGCAAACTAGCTCCAGCCTTCTCTCCTTGAACATAGCAAAAAGCTGTGTTCACCTCCTCCTCTACCTTACAGTAGTAGTACCTTACACCAGGGAGAGGCAAGAAAAGGGCAGTCCAACTACTCACAACCACACTAACATGTAACCCAGCTTCTGGGCCTTTGGCATAGTGCTTTACAGAGGAGCATTCCCACCAGTGTGCTCTAATTACCATTAATGTGGAGTAAGGAAGGAGGCTATGCAAGTCTGAGGAGATACAGCCCCCTTCACAAGGGTCTTGCTTGTGTTCAGAGCAAGTTTCTCTAGCAGCATATCTTTAATCATATAAGTGTAATTGCCCTTTAAAAAATAGGGGAGGTATTATCATTTTTAGTTCATGACTCAAGTCACAAGAAAGCATTCTGTATGGCCTGGCTATTTAATGAAAGAGCATTTGTGCTGTAGAATTTATTTTCAGTAACACAGACTTTATTAACCATTAAAACCATTAAAGTTGCTGTGGAATTGTAATCAGACTATAATAGATGAGTCACATGTAATTCACAGTGTTTCTGGTGCACTTAATTTTTTTTTACCTCATGCTTAGCTGTAATATTAATGACGGACTGCCACCCGGTGTCCAGAGGGCGCTAGAGGTACACTCCAACTCACAGTTACATGCATCAGAACAGCCTTGGCCGTAACCTCTCTTAGTTGAATTTTCCCATGTCAAGAACTAAAAATGCCACTAGATACCATGTAGGGGCATTTCACAACATGTTAGTTCGAAGGAGGGATCTTCCCCTCTGCTTCTGGGATAAGTGGGTGGATCAGCTCTCCCTCCTTTTGCTGTGAACATTACACTGTATATTTTTACTGTCATGCTCCTCATAGGCAGGAATCCTTTTCTCTAGGAATTTCCAATCCAGGATATTTTTAGAAATCTCCATTTTGGGTGTGCACCATACACTGCAGAGGAGTGATGTTTTCTTGGAAGTTTTCCAGCTACTCACACTGTTTCCCATGGTTTTTTTTTTTTGTTGTTGGTGGTTTTTTTTTTGGGGGGGGTGGTAGTGGTTTTTTAGTTTTGATTTATATTCTAATGTTATGCAAGCAGAGACAAAGAAAGAACATAAAGAGTCTTTCTGTTCATCTCATGTTACTGTGCACTTGCCTAGATCCTGTCCCTGGTGGACTCAGGGATACTTCCTTGATGGTCATGAGGTAGCAAAGTTACAAAATTTTCTGAAGAGGAAGATAAGCCATTGTTACTAGGATCTCCAGTTTCTATTTCAGCCAACAACACTGCTTAATTTTAATAATGAGCTTGAGATCATTCCCACTCTATGAGAAAGGAACGGAAATGTTTTGCTGAATTTGGAAACGAAGGATAATTCATTTGCAAAGCCCTAATTAGTTTACAAGATTAACAGTAACTCTTGGAGCACAGCTTATGCCTCCTTAAGAGTCCTAGACTCAAAGAGCTGGAATCCAGCCCATCTCAAAATTCAATTTCTGTGGATCTCAGGTTTGGTTATCTTTTCTTTCCCCTCCCACCCCATTTCCTATCAAAGTAAAATGGTGGAGATTCCTGTTATCCCCCATCACTTTTGAAGACTTGGCTTATACCTCCTCAAAAATCAAGCACTAGCTTTACCAAGATACATAGATATTTAGGGAGCCTAAGTCACATCCTAGTGGGATTTAGGATCCAGAAGATTTCTGATTCATGAGAAGGGATGTCCTAACCTGAGGTGGACGTAATGGTTGCTATCCCAACTGCCTGCTGCTTTTCAGAGTTTCCTACCCCATTGTCCAGACATTTCAGGAGCTGCCATGTGAACAGCTGAGCAGCTGCAGGCTGCCTGCCAGGATGTTTTGGCAGACCACAATCCCCAGGCTGCACCAGTACAGGGCTATAAAATGCAGCAGTTCAGCTACTGTGTGGACAACTGAAATGTCTGAGCAGTGGGGATGGGCACTTCAAGAAGCTGGGTGGGCCAAACTGCCAGGACAAAAACTGCTAGCAAAGCTGTGCTCATTTATTCATCAGGACCTCTGAAGCAGTTCTTACTTTCAGCTGACCACGAAAGAGTATGCCCATTTGGCTTGGCACATAGTTTCTGGAGACATACTAATCTATGAATTGTCCTTCCAGGACCACTGGATTCAACCTTTCAAGTTCTCCCTGCATCCATTTGCCATGCTGACTGCCCCTGAAGCTGCGGAGTATGCCTGGAAGCAAAGTGAGCACATTTCACCCCAACTCCCACAAGGCCAGGGCTGGGGGACATGGGGCAGCAGCACCTGGCCCAGCAGAGTCACCAAGTTACAACCTGCTGAGCTCCAACAGCTGCACATTGAAAGTAGTAAACCTTGGTCTGTGCCTATTCTCTTGCAGGGGGGGAGGTACAGGCGTTTTCTCATTGTAGCCTAGAAATAGTGTTTTGCTCAGCCTCCTGAGCTCAGGACAATTGCCTCAGTCACACCCTAGTGGGATTTAGGATCCAGAAGATTTTCCTCAAGTTGAGGTGAACAATAAGATTACACATTTCTGAGAGGATCCGCCTTCACATCTCACAATCACTTGTTTGTTCTTAAGCTTGGACTATTACTAGTATCTTTTGCAAAGCTCAGTTATGCTACTGACCAGTGAAAGAGCCACCCCCCCCTTCCCTGCTTCTTCTCCAAGTGCAGCAAAACAGAGTAACTCCAGGAGCATTAGAGAATTTGAAGCTGGAACCCCTTACCTCCAACCATGTATTGCAACTGATCCCATGCAGTAGGTCTGTAAACCGGCCTGGTGGCCCCCTCTAAGCCCAAGATGATGCGAGGCCCTTTCTCCCTCCCAAGGCATCAAGTACCCGAGAGCAGCAGCATATCAAAAGATCAACCCTTGTTCAGCAAGGAAAGCTAAGAAGGACAGCAAGCAGCTGAACTCACTCACCAGAGGAAAGCAACAGGTTGACAAAGTAGGTCTGAAGAATTCACACAAGCCAGTAAAACTGTTTTTGCAACACTACCACTGAATGTCACAGCTGGAGTGGCACCTCAAGCCACCCAGAGCCCTCAAAGCCTTCCTTGTCTGCCCTGCTCAGCACTCTTTAGTATGAGAAGTTTCATAGTAGCACTGATTTATAATATAGTGTCAATGCTAAATTGGACTTTCACAGCAACTGTATCGTACCTTGGCAGGAGGTGTCACTCATGAGCTGGAAAGTCATCTCCAGTAATACTCAACATACACATGGAAGGCACTCTTCTGGCTAATATCCCTGCAAAACACATTCGCTACTATCACTTCTAGGTTAACAAACAGTTGAAGACTATTTTTAAAGAAAGGAACAAAAAGCTGACTCTATAAAGAATCAAGTAATGTCAGATTAGCCTAGCATGTACATGAATTAGGCTCTGCCTTTCTAGTTGTCCATGATTTGCTAAAGCCTATTGTTTGATGCAGCTCCACTGAGAAGGAGAGCTAAGAAAACATTCGTTGTAGCAGCAGCAGGGCTGGATTTGACCAAGTAGAGGGGCTCCCCCACGGCCTCGAGTTCAATGTGCATCACATGTCACACAGCAGGAAGGAAGCTGATCTGCCATGCAGTCCCCATCTCTCCTGATGGATTCAGCCCTGCATGCTGTGCTTGTGCTTATTAACATTTGCATCCTGCAGGGAGCTACAGAAGCAAAACAAGGAATGTCCCCAGAAAAGCCTGGAACAGATTCAAAAGCAAGGAATGCAAAGGAAGCAAAGACATAACAAAGACCCAGACTTCACGTATCTCACTTAGCTGTAGGTGAGCTAACTGATGTCTTCTACCTTAGCTTTGGTAATGCATTTGCGACTTGTGGTTTGGGTTTTTTTTTTTGGTTTTTACATCTTAGCAATCATTCCTTCCTTCCCACACCTCATATCTTGTACCCAACACTCCGACATTCCCTCCTCTTCCCTTAACCACCTCTCTCCTGTTTCCCTGTCAGTTTGTTGGGAGCTTACATTTTCCCAGTGCATCCCTACTGCTTCTCAACCCACCATGCTACTTTTACAGAGCCAAAGAGGGGAGGGAATGCAGCACTTAAGAGGCGGGGAGTGCACAGTTCCCCTTGTCCACAATTCCCCTTGTCCACAGTGTTGTGCAACTCCCACACATGATCCAGAGTGGGGCAGGAATGAGCTTCCCTGAATGTGACATGAGGGTTGTGCCTCTCAGGATGATCCCATTTTCTTCAGCTCTCCCCTTTAACCATCCTTTCTTATTTCCTTAAAGAATTCGGCTAAAGAAGAAGCCTCTCCCTGCAGTGCCAGTGTAGCACTGAAACCCAACTGTCTTCCATTCCCCATTTGCAGTTCTCTTATGGTTTGCCTCTGTTATGTCCATGCTGTGCTGCCCAAGAACACTCCCCATTTCCTAGATGGGCTGTCACAACCCTCATCCTTGTATTAACTCTACCTTGCAGTAAGAGTTGGGTGCACATGGTTGTCCTTCCACATCCCTCTCTTCCCTCTCTTCCTCTGGCTGGAGGCCTGGGCACACAGCATGGGGTGTTTTTATAGGACTCTTTCTACTTAATTCCATAGAAGTTTCAGGGCTCAGTGGGGTAGAAGAAGTGTTCACTGCTGAGAGGTGTGTTTAACACTAGCTGCAGGGTAGAGAGACTCCATTACAGCTCTTTACATATAAAAATTACAGAAATTAAGATTCCCAACTACTTCTAGCCAGGGGATAGACATCCATCCAAAGTATGGTCACATATTGTACAGCTGCATTAACTCATGCCTTGGAGACGGTCCTGTACTCTAATGCGAAATACCTGTTAAAGGAAAAAACAATAAACACTTGCGAAGCAAAACTGTTCTTCTTCTGCCTGTTGATTCCCAGTCGCTGAGCCTATTTATGGAGATGCCAAAAGACAGCACTATGCAAGAAAGCCTGGGAATCGTTAAACTTAATCAGGGATTCAAAGGGTCTTTTAGAAGTCCTCATGGACTCAAAGCTTGCTTTCAACTCACCAGGTTCACAGCTTTTTTTTTTTTTTTTTAACATAACTTATCACAAATTTCCTGTTAAAGTCAGTCTGAAATAAAACATAGTTGCTGTAAACACCCGTCCTTTCAATTCTGAGCTGCCCATGGGGAAAGACCTAACCACAGCTTGGTACCTTCAAAAATTAGATATTAACTGGTGAGTCTTTGTGCAGATATTGATGGGGCTTCTTGGCCATACCATGCATCCCCCCCCTTTCCTTTCAAGCCATATGAGCCAAAATTCAAGGCGTAAGGGAGTCAGATGAGAAGGCTAGAAGGGACTTAAGATCAACAGCAACATCACCTTCCCTTACACAGGAACTCTTTAGCCATGAATTGCTGCAGCATCAGCTGTTTTGGCCTGGTTAGTTCACTCTGCAGGAAGCGGGATTGCTGGAACGCACTATCCAATCCCATTTAGCAGTTCCTACCTCTCCTCCGTGGCCTGTGTTCACTGCTGGGACAGGCCTGCTCTGTCACATTCAGCTCAGGCTCATTTCTGGAGCTCAGAGCATCCATCAACTTCTAAACAGAGGCTTCTGTTCTTGCAAACAAATGCAGCAAGCCAGTGCCAGGACCTGAGCAAATTTCATTCCAACTCAAACAGCATCAGTCTGACCCCTTAAAAGCCAAAGCAGAGAGAAATTGTACTTTGAAATGAGGTCATTACAAGAGGGGAGGAGGGGATATTGCAGCTGAGCACGTGAGTAGGAAAACAATGGCGAGGGGGTAGTTAAGATTAAACAGCTAGAGAGAGAGATTAACATCTCATGACTGATTTTTGTTCACTGACCTGGAATAAAATAAACAGTAAGACTTTAACAAACAGGTGATTAGCCGAGTTATTCCAGTGCTGTCTTGCTATTAGAGTAATGGCCATGGTCTTCACTTTTCATTGGCTAATACTTCCTGGTTTTTATAGATACGGCTGGTGGAGTTAAGAGGAGTAAGCAACAGAAATCTTGCTGTGCTAAAAAACATACATTTTCAGAGTGAAAAGTAGGGGCAAGTACCTGCCCCTTCGCTACTCCCTCCCCTGTTGGCTGGTGTCTGGTTGTCTGCACACAAAAATCAAGCCCAGCGGATCAGGTGGTTTGCCATTCACATGTTCACATTTTCAGGTAGCCAAAATCAGGGAGCTGAAAGGTGCTTGTAGATGTGTGCACAATGGGATGGGTGAATGACAGCCTTCTGCCACCTTGACTGAAATTTCCTCCTTTCTTGAGCTATATTGTCTCCTGAATAAAAAGAAGGCTTTGCTGTGACCAGACCAATTAGCCAGGACAACTTCAAAACCTTTTCTCAGCTACGCAAAAAGCAATGGACGTAATTCAGAGCTCAGATGAGATGCAGAGTCACAAATTTGTTCTACAGGACCCAGAAGAGACCTCTGATCATATGTGCACACTTAGCAAGTTGTCACGTGCATACAGTTGGTGCCCACCATTGCACTGCAATACTATCCACAGTGGGAAAGGTAAGAGACCATTCTGGGTCTGTTCTTTGTAAGTACCTGAAATCATGTTGTACAGCAAGTGAGGAACTGAACAGAGCATCATCCACTTTCCCTCTGGCAATTTAAGAGCTGCCCATGGTACCCCAGAGACTGACTCCAGTAGCAGAACTCATGGTGGCAACTTGGTGCTGCAATTCACAGCCCAGTTCATGACACTGAAATTGGTGATGATTTCAGCTAACACTCTTGGCTGTGAACAACACAGCAGCTGAGGCACAGACATACTGCCTGCAGGACCAGAGGTGCTAACTTCTTAAATTGCCCCACGTAAGCAATGTCATGTCAGTGTCTTTCGACCATAGCCAGAGTTACTAGAGCACTGCCCATGCAAGCAAGCCCCAATTTCCCCCTCATTTCTGCTACAGTAATCCTGACTTCAGACACGTCACTACTGATTCTCTAGCTATTCCTGAAAATTCTCACTCATTTTGGTAAAGAGGTTTTTCCTAGTCAAACATCAGGTGGAAACACTTAGCATCCATCTTGGAATGGCAAAATACCCCTGTTTTGTGCGAGAGATTGGTTTATCTGTAGGACAAAAATATAACCAATCTGTTTTGAAAATAATAGATTTTGTCAGGATGGAATCTAAGATATTAAGTGCATAGGACTATATATCTTCAAGAGGCAGCCAGGAGCAAGAACAAATACCAGAGTCAAAGCAATGAGAAATTCAGTTTTACTGCATCTCTCTAAAACAGTGTAAAGGATACTGGCTCCATGAGGGCAGTCATGGTTGAAAGATCGAGCATCTCTGCTGCATTTTCTATATCTAAGAATGGTTAGAGGTGCTCAAAACAGGAACTAGCTTCCAGCAAAGCAGAGTCAGAGAGAACACCAACTGCCAAATTCTGCACAGATTGTCACCAGGTCAGGTGCTGTTATGGAAGTGATCTGCCAGGTACTTGCACACAGGTATTCCCGCTGCCAGTGCTAAACATATAGTCTCTTTATGTGAAGCAAGTATGTGGTGTGGTTGCCAAAAACATCCGGGGCCACACTTCATGGCCTTTCATGGGGACTTGCATTAACATCCATTGTTCAAAGAACTCGTGTGCAATCCATGCAGCAATAACTGTTTCCCTGATCTACCCACCAGTTTGCCATAGAGTTGGACTTGATCTTAAGGGTCTTTTCCAACCTAAATGAAATGATTCTTCTATACACAAGGGATTACACTTTGAAATAGAGTCAGATGTGACATTAAAGCACTGTGACAACTCTGCACTAACTTTCTGTATTGAGTATTTTGTGCATGCTTACACTGCCTGTTGCCAGCTCCATTGAGTCCAGGTCAGCAACCCATCCAGTCTGCAGACAAAAACCAAGCCCTGAACAGTGTACTTACAGTAATAGCAACAATACATCAAGTCAAATACAACAGTCAAGCAAACATCAGGACAAGGAAATCCAACAGGATGAAGGCAGGTGGTCTGAGGTAACCCAGAAAGCTCAGAAGAATAGGGCTGAATATACTAAAGAGGACAGGAAGGTATCTAACCTGTTTGGAAATGGTGAGTGCACATTAGCCCCTGTCATTTAATAAGGATACAGTTAAAAACAACACCAGTGGTTTGTAATGGAAGGATGTGAAGGGGGAGGTTTCATATTCCCCCTACCTGTTTCCCCAGAAGACACTGTTGTCTTTCTTTTTCCTTTCTTGCCCCAGCACTGAAAGCCCTTTTCTTTGGTCTGAGACCCTGTAAGCAAAGCTGCACTCCACTAAGTCTCCCAAACCTTCCCCTGTTCTCTCTCTCCTTACAGCCACAAACACTCATTTGTTCCACTGGAGGTGGAGACTATGTAGTTGCAAAAAGAGCTCTTTTAAATAAATTGGATCTACAAAGGTGTTCATCTGCATTCCAAGTTAACTGATGAATCATGTTGACAAGGCCTTTACATGCTTGAATGAGTTTCCCCAAATACATAAGATTATAAATCTGGTTTTGGAGTGCAGTAGTTTCTTTTGATCTGAAGCCTCACCTACTGGTGATATAAGACATTTGTATAACCAGCTTTGCATATTCCATGAAGCAGTTTGGTTTTAAGAGTCTAAGATTTACGTTCAAGAAAATGATAATCAGAATAGGACAAGTCAAGGTTTGTTCCAGCCCTGCACCAAACAAGAAAAAAATGACAGAGGAAAGGTTCTGAAAGAGAGGAATAGAGTTTTCTGTAACCTACTAGCTGTGCTTTACTGTTAAAGCACTCTGCTTTAGTGTTAAACAACAATCCTTCCTGGTTCCAGATAGAAAGCAACTTGAGTTTAATGCAGCTTGCTCCTTATGAATTTTTAAAACAGACTTTCAAAGGGAAAAAATTGAACCAACCGATTTATAATGTTAGCCAGTAATTCAGATACGCTGATAAAAACCTAATATGAACCATTTGATTTCAATCTTTTTAGTCTTCAGGGATGCAGCAGTTAACCACACACCAGGAAGGGACTGAAACTTTTAATCACTATTTCCTCCTAACGTATCTGTGTTAAAATCTGTACATAATAGAAGGGATTAGTAGGCAAAAGCTAACACCACCACGTGAGATGGAGACTTTTCCTGTTTCCAGGATAAAGTGGGTGACAAAGTATTGAAATGGAAGCAAAGTTCATCTGCTCTCACAAAAGGAAAGATTGAACAAATACCATGGGACAAACTTAGGCAAGAGGTAATCGACACAGACTGGGGAAGGAGAGGAAGACCTACACCAGAAACTGCTCAGATCCGCTGAGTTCGATAGCTTTCAGGCAAAGGAGGTTCTGTAAAGAACCATTCTTACACACATCCCCCATTGGGTCAGGTGCATCACATGAAATAGTTGATACCAGCTGAAAGTGTAGTCCATTCCACAGTTACACAATAATTCACTTGCACACAGCATCAGCAAATGTAGCCCAAATCCCAGAAAATAAGAGTCCCACATGGTGAATGCAATAAATGCCATAACTGCAATAAAGACAGAATGCTTAGAATGGGCCCTTTTGTGTTACTTTTTGCAGATGCAGCATTAGGACTATGGTATATAAAAGCAACCACAGTGTTTGCTCACAGCTTTCAGCTTTCACCTCAGCAAGCTGCCAAAAATGGGAAAGGTAAATGGAAGCCCCAGTATGCCAGTACTCTGCTATAACACAGACACTGGGATGGACTATGAGTCTTTGCAAATGTTTATATTGCAGATCATTTTTTATGAAGACAAGAGCTTCTGGGGCCACTGCTATGAATGTAGCAGTGACCACCTTGACCTGCGGTCCTATGTGAAACAATGCAATTCCATCCAGGTCGAAAAAGCAGCTGGATGATTTATGAGAACCTCAGTTACTCAGGACACCGGTACTTTTTAAAAAGGGGAGACTATCCTGACTTCCAGAAGTGGTTCAGTCTCTGCGACTCCATCAGGTCTTGCCATGTAATCGTACAAGTGAGTTCTGCTTGGCAGTGTATCACAGTTTACGAAATTGGGTGTGGTTTACCCTTTAAGAATATAGTTATACAGTCTCTTCAAGTAACTGAAGAGACAGGCAAAGTTCAGTAAGGCAATACAAAGTTTCACTGGAGATGAAGGAAATAATCTTTTTAATATCAGTGCTATTTCCAGGGCCTGTACATAACTTGGAGATGCTAAAAGAAACCTGAGTGACTGTTTCTAGGTAGAGAATGTTTTTACGTTGCTCAGGAAAGGGCTAGCAGGGCCAGCTGATAGAAAGTTCTGTTGTAGGCTGATATATGCAACTTGCTCATGACCATACTATGTTACGATTCAATGACACAAGAACATGTTAAATCAGATTTGCAATGGGTATGGCTTTCCTAACATAAAAGCTGTGTTGGTTAAAATTAGCAAAGAATTAATATTTGCTAAAGTACTTCTCTGGTTAGTAAGATACACTACACAGCAAAAGCCATAGCAGCAGGAACACTCCACATGCCCGTGCTTCACATAGCTCTGCAGTTTGCCACATGGCAATTGCCTGCGCACCAGTGTATAATGGGAGCATATCGAGTAACATGGTAAATGTCTTTTAGTAGCACAATCCTGAAAAAGCCACATTATTCATGCCTGGTCATGAGTAAGCGACACAGATCATCTCAAAGTCACATGAATACATTTTATCCTATTGTCACAATATAGAGTCCTTATAAATCCCATTTCTTCAAATCATACAGCATCCTCCATTTACTTCCTACCACACACGTGATCATACCCATTTGCTGGCACTCCTGAACTCCTCCATGTGGGTAAGAATTAAAGCTCCTCTATGAGCTTCAAAAGAGTGAATCTCTTCACAATCCCATCTCCAGAATAGAACACAGTTTCTCAGAAATGCACATAGTAGCTAGGAAAGTTGCCTTTTTCTGTATGTCTGTCTTGTTCAGTAATGTCAGAATCAGTTAAATTTCTGTCTTTCCTATATTTTTGCTGTGTTTACCACTGCGGAATTGTGTTTCCCACAAGATTCAGTTCTATGGAAAAGAGAAGCTCCAAGGCCAAATGTTGGAGCTTACTGATGATTGCCCATCAGTCCCAGGTTATATCCATCTCCCTGAGATCTGCTCCCTCAATGCTTTAGGTGGCTCTTGGATCTTGCATGAAATGCCCAACTTCAGGGGCCAACATTATTTACTGAAACCTGAGGAATGCAGAAGATCCCCTGACTGGGGTACAGTAAATGCCAAAATTGTCTCTTTAGAGAGGCTGACTTGCACTGAGTTATTGCTCCCACACTAAATAAACAGTGAATGCATTCCAAAATCCTTGTTCAAACAAATGTTCCTTCACTTCTACAAACAAATTAAAGTTGTGCAGTCCAGAGGGAAATCCGATTCCTCTCACATTTTAGGGAGACAAGGGGAATATTTTAAAAAATATTCACAGTTATCCAGCTGTTCCACAGTACGTGATGATTTAAATAACTGTTGAAGGTCCAACTGCATATTGCTAACCCTGGTAAGCATAGAGTTCCTCAGTCATCACGTCACTGGATATAGCTATTAATGGGAAGGTCTGGTTCTTTGATCTAAGTTTTCCCCAGTTTTACAAGTTTTGATCTAGGAATAGATTCCAGCTCTATACTTACCAGGGTTAACAATATGCAGTTGGACTTTTAACAGTTATTTAGATTATCATGTGCTGTGGAACAGAAAAGTAAGTCCCATTAACAGTTATATCCAGTGAAGTACTGACTGAGGAGGAAAAGAACAGAAAGATGCAGAGGAACTTAGAAAAGGTGAAGACTATTTGGCATCAAATTCTTCATGCAAACAAGCTGCTCCGTGCTACCACCAGTCCAGCAAAGCTATCCAGTCTTATCCCAGCTGATTCCTCCAGAAAGAATTTTTCCAGATCCTTAAATCACATGACCTTTATACAGCATGTTTTAGTGAACCTGTTCTTCATGAACTAGATGTTTAGTTGTGTCAATTGCCCTGCTTCTACTAACTTCAGAGCTGCACTATCTGCTGCAGCAGGAGATTGAGCCTAATCCCTCAACTGCCAGGCTATTCTGCATGCAAAAGGAATTAAATAAGAATACCAGTGTGGATTAGAAACAGGACAACATCTTGTTGTACTGCAAAAAGTCTATTGCATCATTAATTACCATTCAAGTTATTATGTATATGCCTTCTAATCATCTCTGAATCCTGTTCCAGCAGGCACTCTGTGCAATCATGAGTGAGAGCCATGATAAAATGTAACAAAACACAGTTAAGGGATCTCACATCTTAACATACCTCTTCTCATTTAGGTAGTGGAGTCTAGATATTTTTTTCCAGGCATAGTTAGGCAAATATACTACTGCTCTTCAGCAAGGTACTGAAGACTTTTGGAAAGAGAAAGCAGTAGAGAGAGCACAGAACTACTAGGACAGTCCACAACCTTATCTAGTACATGTTTAATTTTAAATAATTTCATCTGGGCTTTAAATGGTAGGCTTTGATTATGTTTTGCCTAGTAAACATTCTGATAATGGAGTCCTTGAATAAAACCAAGCAACTTCTACAGCAGTGAGGTAGACTGCTTAAAACTCACGTCTCCATTTGCTAATGTCAGAGACCTCATTTAGCCATTATTTCATGCTCACATGACCCATCAGTAATAGCCTGTTAGTGATCCTCACCAGCCTTTCCCTGACAACACTGGAGAGGAAAATAGAACTATTCTTTGCCCTTCTCATCCTTTCTTTTGAACATGGGACACTATGTCTGCCCTCCTGCCTGTCCTTTACTGCACAAAGGAGGCTGTTCAGCTGCTGCAAATGTCTGGTGTACATAAGAACACCATGCTTCAGCCAGAGAGAAATGGAGCATGAACAATCAGCTCTCAAGGCAGAAGCGTGAAAAAGCATGTTTCCTCTTGTTCACAAATGCCTAATATTGTGCATTTATAGGAACTGCACAGTGTAAGTAATATGTGTGTTAGCATGCTTAGGTTAGTGTGCTAACCCAGGTTTGCAAAATAACACAGCAGTTCAAGCACAGTATCTACTTGCGTGCTTAGAACAGGGAACCAAAATATTTTATTTGCCTTCAGCAAGAATAAAATAAAGAAAAAACAGACCAGCTCCCCAGACAGCAATTAACATATGCTTACATACTCCAGCAAAGTATCTAGTTCAATTAGTGCAATTGAGAAATATGGCTACATAGTGATGTGTAGGTTACATGCTGGCATTCCTTTGGTCAAAGGCAAGAACGAACAGAAATGTACTATTCAGTGATCAGAGCGATAGTTAGGATGTCTGGATTCTTGACTCTGCTGCATCCTAGAGTTTGGGGGTGGCTAAACCTCTCCGAATTTCGCCACCTGAGACAGGAATGGTGGCAATTCCTAGTTTTCAAGGAGGACTGAGAGGTTTTACTTGCTTTTGTTTGCAAATGCTCAGAGAATCTCAAGCAGACATTAAGAACAAGGGTGCTAGAGGAGAGGAGCACTGGGAATTCACAGAGAGCATCCAAGTTTTCACTAACAAGTCTTCTAGGTTCCTGTAGCTTGTTTTATGGTTGATAGCAAGCACTACAGTTGCTGGCATGCAGGGTATGCTTCTCTACACAAACACACACTGCTATTTTCAGATTATCCCTATGCTTGAGTTTTTCTGGGGTGCAAAAGCAGTCAATCTCCACGTAAAAGCAGCTGTCAAAACAGCATACTAGTTGAGGGCAGTTGGAACAGATGTAAATAACCAGACTCCTCAGATCATGGATACCATTTGGCTAACAAAATATTTTGGCTCCAGAGTTTAAGATCAACCCACAGCCCTTCCTGCAGTGCACAGCTCATCTGTGGCATAGGGTCCTGGGAGGGGAAAGTCTGCAGGATTCAAGGAGAAGCTGGATGAGTACTTGGAAGACAAATCCACTGAGGGTTATTAACCAGAGAGAAGTAACCTCCTGCTCAGAAAACCTCTTGAGCTAAAAATACTTTAGGTCTTGAAGTTTGAACAAAGTATCATATGTATTTGTTTCATATCTACCCTTCCTTCGGTGCCTACTTGGTTGCTGCCAAGACTAGCTGGACCGCTGGTCTGACCCATGATGGCTTCTCTACATTTGTAGCTACAATAAGGGATTCACATATCACTGCCCCTACTCTGGTCTCTCAAGTTCCAAACTTTAACACAGTGGGCAGTGGGCTTGGTGATGAACTATGAAGGACCATTCAGGACCCACAAGACAAGCCAGCTCCACAAAGCAAGCATGATCATAGAAAGAACAAAAAAAAGTGTAACACTTCCAAGCCTGTCAAAGATCTTTGAGAAATGCGAGCAGAGGCCTGCACATAGAAGTTGTTCCTGTAAGTGAATTCAATTTGCTTAGCATTAACCATCAGTTATTTTTGGTCCAAAGAAAGCATGGAGGTATTCAGAAGCAACTGCTAGACTTAAATTCACATGATTTCCTCAGTCTGCTTTCAGTGTTAAGGGCTACAATTTCCTGGCTGAGGAAGCACCTCCAAGAGAGAGGCTGACAGGAGTGATACCATTTACAACACCCAAGCACAACTAGAGCTATGTAAAAACAGGCCAGCTAAAGATTTGCCCCTGAAGTTTTGTAGCTTCATGAAATCACCATACAAGACTCATAGTGAAAGACACATGAAAGAAAGCACAAACATGCAGTGTTTTGGTTGAACAAGAAGCAAGTCAGACAAAAAGATCCACTATCGCTCCATGCAGTATGAGAAGGAATATGAAAATGTGGCACTGCACCTGACTGCAGGATCCTGCAGGATCACTGCAGGATTTTGTGAAGGTTAGTTCAAAGGTGGGTGTGGAAGGAGCGAAAAAGAAGGCAAGCAGGAGAGAAAGGAATGGTCCCTGGGGAAAAAAAAAAACCAAACAAGTTATAGAGACATATTTAAAACTCCAGAAGAATAACTCAAAACTGTGCTGTTTATCTTTTTCCTTTGAAAAACAGTCTTGGATTTTTTTTATTTCAAATAGATAACATTTCCTTGATATTTTAACATTGGTATGTACTCAGGTTTGTACTAGACTGAATGGAAAATACTTAGGCGGCCTGATCTAGCACTGGTAGCACAAAACTTTTACTCAGGTTACCTCCCATTACTCAAATAGACATAAACTGAGGAAAAAAGTTCCTGCTGGCACCTGAAGATGATCAGCAGCAGAATAACTTTACCTAAACAGCCCCAAAGTACATCAGCTTCAGCCTGCCTTCCAAAACAGCTCTGACTTTGAGGCTGCCTAGACTTCTAAAGACCACTGCAATGTATCAACTGACTGACTGAGAATTGCACTATACCATATCAAACAAGGGCCCAGAATAAACACAGTCCTGAGCATCTTTGGATTAATCAGATCAGACCAAAAACTTACCACAATGTTCTTCATAAACAACATCTTTTTTTGTAAGTTCAACTGCAATTAAAGTTTCTTCAGCTGAAGAAATTACTATGCTGTTGCATTTTGCCTCAATGACTCATACCTGAGTTCCAAAAATCTGTACATCTCTCAAATGAAACATTTCTCTGTGCAGATTTAAAAAGGCTCTTCTCTGCCTTAAACAAGTGGTATCCATCCTTCAACTTCTAGTCTCCTTACCTATGAGCTCTGAATTACAGAATTTCAGCAGTGAAGCTTGGATGGATGTAAATGTCCATTACCACACATTTTTGATTACATCATTTTCTCTCATACACATACTCTTACTGCTAAAGGAAACAGGCAGCAATACCTGGTCTGAAGGCTCTTGAAAATCAGGACAGTTTTTATTAGCATACTGTAAAAACTGTTTTACAGTATTGTCACTGGGAATCCATACGCATTAAAAAACCTTTGACTCGTATACAATCAGGGAACAGAGAGAGATTAAAAATAAAATGACATGAAACAGTTCTGCTGCAGCATTTCCAGCACTTTCGCTTACACATGTTCCATCAGTAAAATAACAGAAACATTGCTTGACCTGCCATTTACTCTGATCCTCTGCTCACTGATGGTAACAATAAAGTTGGTACCCCACAAACTACTGCTATTGCCTTTTGTTTAGAGAATGACAATGGAGAGAGGGAGGGGGAGAAACAGTCATTCTCTTTACTGAGCGAAAAATTCTTTTTTATCCTACTCCTGTGGATGCAGCACTGTGCATTCTATATAAAGGACTGCTGACTCCTCCTGCGCGCTGAGGTCTCACAGCTAAACCCTGGCAAAAATGGCAAAGATAAGAACAGCTGAGTGAATGGAGTACTGACAAGCAGCCTAGCAC